TGAAATTCGCCCCTTATTCCGCAATCTTTGGGCGTCCATAGGATGGCTCTCTCATCCCTTCACTCAATACCCAAGAAGTATCATAGCTCTCCCAGATCTTTCACCTCAAACTTTTGATGAAGGAGCTGTTTAAGAGACTCGATCTCACTGTTATCATTCACTGTCACTACAATATCATCCACATATACAACAAGCAAAGTCAAGGAAGAGTCCACTCTTTTAATGAACAATGTATGGTTTGACTGAGCCTGTACATGGCCGAATTTTTCAAGGGCTTGTCTGAATCTATCAAACCAAGCTCTGGGGGACTGCTTTAGTTCATATAAGGCTTTATTCAACCRGCAAACCTTCTTACCTGTCTCTGCATCATAAAATCCAGGAGGTAATTGCATGTAGACTTCTTCCTGTAAATCTCCATTGAGGAAGGCATTTTTAACATCCATATGGAACAATGGCCAAGAATAATTGGCTGCAAGGGATAGCAGAACTCGAATAGTGGTAATCTTTGCTACTAGAGCAAAAGTCTCCAAGTAGTCTTTACAATAAGTCTATTTGCAACTAACCAGGCCTTATACCTTTCAATGGAACCATCAGCATTATGTTTCACAGTAAATACCCATCTACATCCAACCGGTTTCTTTCCTTTAGGCTAGTCAAATAGCTCTCAAGTATTATTCCTCAGAAGGGCATCCATTTCAACCTTCATTGCATCTTTCCACTCAGGAACTAACAAGGCTTCCTACACTATTCTAGGAATAGGAATATCAGCAATGGATGTGAGAAAGGACCTGTAAGAGGGGGACAGGTGATTATAGGATAGAAACTGGGAAATACAGTGAGTTGTGGATGTGGTGCAACGCCGTTTGCCTTTACGGACTGCAATGGGGAGGTCAAGGTCATCCAAAGGAGGTAAAATAGCAACAGTGGAAGGTATCTCAGGGGGACCTGGATTTGATAAAGGGACTGTGGTACCTGGATCTGGATCCATAGAAGGAACTGGGGCTGGCCTGGACTGCTGATGACTGAAATCAACCTGCCTCCACCGCCTGTGATAGACTCTCAAATCCTGACACCTTTGACAACCCTCCCCATTCGATCCCTCATCACTCAATGGAATAGGTAAAGGAACTTTTGATGAGTTAATCCCACTCTCACGAACCTAGCTCTGATACCATTTGATACATGACTTAGGAGAATTCACCCCTAAAAGCTATCTTCTAGAGGGAGGGAACCCAAGCACATATATACCCCACAACAACATCCCATTCTATTGGGATACCTCACATTAGCATCCCATACTACCAACATAAGACAATTGGATCATAACATCCCACCACGCTTCCGCAGTCCTGGCTCTCACATAGGATGGCTTTATGCTAGTCCACCTAGTCCCGACTGAACATTGCAATACCGACATTACCACTTGCGCCACATGATTGCAACTGGGAGGCATAGTGTAGGCTCTGATACCAAGTAGTCGATCAAGACTACAATCAACCTTGAATTTGAAAGCAAAAAGGAAAGATTTCAGAAGAAAAGAAGAAGAAGAAGCACACGAAGGGTTTTAGAAAAGAGAGAGAGGGTTGATTTTAATGATCTGCCTACCACTCTTAATATTTATATATGTTGACTAATTGTAAAAGGGCTGAATTGTCCTTATTGCTTACATGACAAATAAATTAATAATAAAGCTGAAATAACAAGATGTAACAACAAACTGAAATAACTACCAACCAACACTGACCTAACTAACAAAAAAAAATGCTATGCTGCCATACGAACACAATGGGGACCACAGCAGTGGGGTCCACATCAGTGTTCTTTACAATTTTATGTTTTTTGAATATTTTATTTTTCATTTCCTCTCTATTGTTTACTATCCATAGTTTGCATTCCGTAGAATATCTATTATAAATCATAACTCATAATAAAATTATATCCATTTCAAACACTTATTTTTCTGAATTTTGTACTAAAGAATCTAATAAAAACATCAACAAACAAATACTATTACAATGTAGGATTAATATATGTATTGAAATTGAATTAAGATTTGAGACTGAAAAGTTCTATGAAATTTTAAGGGATAGGAAAAAGATTGGGTTGTGCCCAACCTGAGCCTAGCCTAACCCGAAGTTGGCTCGACTTACAACCCTACTGCTATCCATTGTTATAAGTATGGTGAGAACTAGGCATTTAGATCTATGCTTCGGTTTGACCAAAGTTGGATATGGAGTCAAGAGTAAGTAGGGGTGTCAATGGATCGGTTTTGGATTGGACCCTCAATTTGGACAGATTGGATGGACCAACAAGACATTGAATTAGACCAGTGTAGACTTAATAGTCCAAAGTATTTATTGGATTGAATTGAGCCTGGTCCATCCGTAATGAATTTATATTGGATTGGGTTGGATTGAGCCAATATTTGGTCCATTAATCTAATGGACCGGGTTTGGTTTAGAATAAATCTAAATTAAAGCAAATTTGAACAGATTGGACAGTCCAAATATTGAATTGGACCAATCCAAAATATTCATTGGATTGRATTGGACTTGGTCCATTTGTAATGGGGATCGGATTGGACTTGGTCCAGTGCAATTGACACTCCTAAGTGACCAATCTTCTCAAATAAGGATGTATATTGGGCCCAAGGTTCAAAATACTGATACGATATGCATGGTCACATGGCACAATGCTTATGAGGATTTATAGTGGTGATTGTTGCCAAAAGTCTAATAAGATTGTGAATGAAAAGTAATAAGAACCATAATATTGATCATTACTAACGAAGGGAAGGTCTTTTTGGATTGTGAATGAAAAGTAAAATTGGAATTTGAACATAAAACCCTAATTGCCATTTAACAAAACTTGTGCATCACATTTAAGAGTAATAAGATTAATAAAATGTAATAAAAATAGAAAAATTAAGATAATAGAATTTAACACACATTTATCTAATAACAAGTAACCAAAAAATAGTTTGGGTTGGATTTGGTACCATTTGGCCCAATTAATAGTCATAAGGCTCCTGTCATAATTTCTTTTAACAACACTCGTGGATCGCATGGGGTTCAACTAGTTGGTATTAGTGCTGCAAGTCGGGCTGGGTTAGGTTGGGTTGAGGCCAACCCTAGCCCAATCCTAAGTTCTAAACACCCAACCCTAACACCCTAACCCTAACTAAGTTTCTTCAACCCTAACCCAGCCCAACCCAACCTTCTTCTCATCCACTAAAATCTCATAAAACTTCTCAATCTCATATCTGAATTCAACTTATATATGTTTATGTTTTTATAGTTCTTTTTTAGTACAAAATTTAGAAAAATAAGTGTTTGAAATGACTATAGTTTATTATGAGTTATGATTTATGATAGATCTTTTATGGGCTATAAGCTATGCGCGATAAACAGAAGAGAGGAAATGAAGAATAAAATATTCAAAAACATAAAATATGTTATTAAGGTTTTAGTGTTTCCGATTGGGATTAAGTGAAGTGATTATCTTAAAAGGAAGACATGATAGTATATGGTGAGGGTTATACAACTATTATGCATTTAAACAAATCAATGTATGATATATCATATATAACACATATTTATATATGACATGTACTATAAAGTTCGGTTCAAGTTGGGTCAGGTTGTCCAAGGGATCATGGATTGGATTGGTTTGTAATTTGTTAACTTTTCAATAGGTCTAAACCCCAATCCAAACCCAATGTAATTGAAATTCTTCAAATTGGGCAATCCGACTTGCAGCCTGAAGTACTATAGGATCTTTAGCATTACACTGTAATATAGAGGCCAATGTTTTCAGCCTGACTTGACTCAAATGATAGAACCTCGAGTCACCATGTGGCCTCTTTTTCGGGCCTGGTTTTTTTAAACCCAGAAATTGATCAAAAACTATTGACTTGGTTAAAACGCGTATGAATTGGGCAGTTCTATTGACCCATTCAACCAAATCACTTTACACATTACATAAAAACAGTTCAGACTCTTTATATACATRCATACATACATACATACATATACATATACATRCATACATACTATATATATATATACAACTCTTACCCATCCAACCTAAATGGTTGAAATTGAACCACTGACCCGTGAGCAAAAATAAAAATAATTCATCCTCTACATCGGTTTTTAAAATAGTGATAGACATATTGCAATACCAATGGTCCAATTTATTTAAAACACTGATCGGTTTTGTGTATCGCATGTGTCAATAATTTGAACCATGATTTACAGTCCAAGTGTGAGATTTACAGTCCTTAGACCGTGTTAATTCCTGTATCATGGGATTGTTGTAGACTAAACACGTATTATTAGTAAAGTTAACATGGGATTAGATCTCTATAAGGTTAAGGTTGTTGATAACTTGATATAGCCTCATGAAATTAACCTTTTTACTGTAATATTGGAAACACAATTTCTGATTGATTTTTGATACAGATCAATCTCATCATCAAAATCACTTGATCTTATTACTACTAATTCATATATATTTTTTTTCTTAAAAGCATGCCAGGTATCTCTACTTCCAATAATCTCATCAATATGTTTTTAATTATCATGATTTATTTATAAAAAAGATTATCATGATTTATAGACCATAATTGTGGTTTACAAATGAAAAACCGTGTATCATCTCATGATAAAAAAGTAGAGGGAGTTCAATTGGGTATATAGGATGAGGCACTCAACGTCCACCAGTGGACACAAACCATCCATTCATTCACGATAAATCAGGAATATATTACAAACCGCTTCTGTACCCGGTATCCGCTTTCGATAAGTTTGAGCCAACCAAACAGATAACCAGAGAAGCAGATTTTTCATGGCACTCAGAATGTGGGCTTCTTCAACCGCCAATGCACTACGAATTTCTTGCACTGCCAAGGCTTCACTCTCTCCGGCCTTTTCTCTCTCTAGATGCTTCTCTACTGGTATTCTTTACTCCTCACCTTCTTCACTCCCCCCCTTCTCTCTCTCAGACACATACACAGACACAAAGGGGGCTACCTATCACTGTTGTGACAAAGCCAGCTTTCTTGGATTTTGATTTTCTGCTTTTCTTTCGGGTTAATTTTAAACTTCAAATGTTAGAGCATGAAATTTATAGATAAATTTGAAGACTGGATAGTTTTAGAATACGATGCTTGAATATATAACCTCCCTGGATCAAATTTTGTCATACATTTGCAGTTTTGGATGGATTGAAATATGCCTCATCACATGAATGGGTGAAGCATGAAGGCTCAGTGGCAACAATTGGCATCACTGACCATGCTCAGGTTGTTATTTTCTCAAAACCCCAGTTTTCATTCTTCTTCTCTTCTGCAATTATGCTTTTCTGAGTTGTTATTATTTACTTGGTTGGTCTGAGTTGCATCAGAGAAAGGAAATTGGTGATTGGTGGCTATATATTATATTCTAGCAACTGATTGGAACATGGGGTTTCATCAAAAAGCGAATTAAATGATGTTCCTGCGTTTCTTCAATCCTGTTTAATTTATCAGACTGGTTAGTTAGAATTTAGAAACTCCTGTCTTCAATTGTATATAAGAACTTTGTTTCCTGCCATTAACATGGGCCCTGTTTAAGCTCTGGATGAGGCAGGAGGGAGGTTAAGATTTATTGGTTACTCTGGGATTTGGGCTTTACTTTAATTTAAATGCCCATTGAACGGTAGAGATCAACTTAGAAATGTATTGCTTGTATGAGGTAGGGACTAGGGACCATTGAGCTAGATGGAGCCTTGGAGTCTAGTCCATCATTTGCAACTGCCCACCTTATCCAGTACCTCCAGGCTCCAAGGCTTTTGAGCCACATTTTAGAACTCCACTCCGGTTCACAAGCACACAAATATCCGGGTCCCACACATTGTTCCTTGTAGAAAGTATCGGCATCAGATTGACCTGGAGTCTAGAGACTAGACACGAAGGGTTTAAATTTGCCAGGTGGCAGGAGGAAAGGTAGGTCCTTTCAGTTTCATATCCTAATAATCTTGCCACGTAGAGGATTTGTGGGTTTATTTAGACTTCTTTACCAAACTGTTCACCTAGGACAATGGCTCCCATGAAGGAAAAGGTTTCATCATTAGTCGGGATGCAAATTTGTTTGAACTAAAAACAATGAATTGACCTAGTCCATATCAATTGTTGTTTCATTTCTGAAGATTGGAACCTCTGCAGGACCATCTTGGAGAGGTTGTATTTGTGGAGCTGCCAGAACCTGGTGGCTCAGTGTCTAAAGGTGGCAGCTTTGGAGCTGTGGAAAGTGTAAAGGCAACTAGTGATGTTAATTCCCCCATTTCAGGCGAGATTGTTGAAGTGAATTCAAAGCTCAGTGAAACCCCTGGTTTGGTAAATTCCATCACTCAAGACTTAAGTTCCAGTCTCTTTTCTTTGGCACTGGACTCATCACATGTTGTAATTGTAGATCAATTCCAGCCCATATGAAGATGGATGGATGATCAAGGTGAAGCCCAGTAGCCCCTCAGAACTGGAATCTTTAATGGGACCAAAGGAGTACACGAAATTCTGCGAGGAAGAAGATGCTGCCCATTAGAACTGGAATGCGTCTGTGTTCTCTAGGACCAATTGGTTGTGGCCCTGTTCTCATGAAGAAGAAGAATTTAGCCACTTTATGTTGCTCTTATGCTTACTACGTGTTTTCCTGTTGGTTATGGAGGACTACAGGCAGCAATCAGTTAACACTGTTCTTCCCCTCCCCATTCTGTTCTGTGTCCTTTTTACTAGTTCTGAAATCTTCATGTAATTAAAACCATCGTCCTCTTCCTTCTGTTCCATCTTTTCAATCATTCAGTGCTTCTCATTTTACATTCTCTTGTTTAACTAGTTTGGATTTGTATCTCTCCCCAATTTCTGAGCTAAGATTAAACTGCAGCCTAGTAGGAAACATGGGTAACTTTCCATATCAACCATAAGCACTTGAACTAGAAGTTTTAAAAACCTAGTGAACAATTGAACATCTCCATCTTTGCGATTAAAGTGTTATCAGTCATCATCTAAACTAAGGATTCCCCATTAACTCTGTCTTATATTCTTGATATACATCACATGCTATCAGCAATATCTCATGTTGTAGCTAGTATTGAATCATAGAAGCATCCCAAACACTTTTAAAAGGATGATGCCTTCTCAATAAACAGTCATGGATAAAGAAATCCAATCCAGAGAAGACCGGAATAATGACATTGGTTTACATCATACATGTATACCCACATGGATATAAGTAGTCAGAATGATGTAATATACTGCAGAAGCAGCATCTGTTTTTTTTTTTTAATATTTATTTCTTTTAAATTTCATAAGCATCTACACATCTAGGGAACGTAATGCTTTTACTCAGGTTTCTAAGAAGCAAGAGCAAAAAATAGGCAGTTATTGATGAATGCCTTTGCTTTCTGCATCTATCATTTTACATTTTTGGGAAATTGTCTAAAACTCACTATGAGTTTTCAGCATTTCTCTTAAACTTACCACAACTTTTCAAAATTTCTAAAAGTCACCATGTCACTAATTTTACATTAAACAGACTAACGGGTGTTAATATATTACCATTTTAACATTCATAAAAAAATATAAAATAAATTAACAGGTGTTAATATATTATCATTTTAATATTTAAACATGAAAAGAGAAAAAATTTAAAAAATATTTTCAAATATAAAATACATAAAAACATAGAAATTACAAAAAAAATTATAGAAATTGCAAACAAAATAAAAAATACTTTCAAATTATAGAAACTATAGAAATTAAAAAACAAAATCAGAAAATAAAAATTGTAGAAAAAACACCAAAAATTATAGAAAAACACAGAAATTGTAAATAAATAACAAAAATACAGGAAAAATTTATAGATTGTAGAAAATAGAAAAATGTAAAAAAATAGAAGTTATAAAAAACACTGGAAATTATAACAAAACATTAACGGTGCATTAACAATTCAAGGGTAATTTGGTCATGAAAATTATTATTTATGCTGACATGGACACCTCTGTTAAGAAGCATTAACGGAAGGTGAGTTTTAGAAAATAAAAAACTTACTGACATGGTGAGTTTTAGAGAAGTGTTGAAAACTCATAGTGAGTTTTAGACAATTTCCCTACATTTTTTTTTATAATCAGTAAAATTATTAATGATCTATGTTGATAAAAAGGAAAAGCATCATATTCAGGGTCTTAGGTTAAATACTTAAATTATCAAATGGTCATATTTCTCTATTAAAAAATCACCATAACTTCATGTCACAACCATATTTAAAAAGGCAACTTTATTATAAAGCGAAAATTGAGCACCAAGAGGTCCAAGATGTGCTTTTGTATTTCGTTCAATCCCTGCTCACATAGTTGCCGATGAAATCTTTCTAATTCTTGCTAGGCAGTTGTCAATGGGCCTTGTATGAGGTAAGTACCTCAATGGGCTGTCTGGATTGAGCCGTTCAAGCCTGCACACGAGTAATGTACAATAAGATACTTAGGGTCTGTTTGGTTTCCAGTCAGAATTGGAATGGTCTATGCCCATAGTTTGTTTGGTTCAGACAGGAATTAAAATTGGAATTGGAATCAGCTGGAATGGAATTTCATTCCAAAGGGAGAGATTGCCATTCCACTCGCAGACAATTAAATTGAAAATATGGTGATGAATTCGATATTGAGCTTCTTTGTGTTCTCTTATTAATCAAGATCATGCCAATTTTTTTTGTTCTTTTTCTATTTGCTAGACTAGTCCAGAAAAATAAAGAAGTAAGAAATACAAAGCAGGGTAACTCACCTATAATTAAGAAGAAAATGGTGGAGGAAAATAGAGATCTCTAGCTTGGCAAGATCATTTCCAGGACACAACCTGCTTCCTGCTCCGAAGGGAATGTAGGTTCCTGCTTTGGGTGTGAATCCCTGAACATAGTTTCAGCAATAATATATATTAGATAGCTAGGGTTGAAAGTGGAGTACTCTCGCCTTGAAGTGCTTAATCTGCATCAGACTTTGGCCCTCAAGCCACCCTTTACAGGTAACAGTACAATCATAAGCATAAGAAATAACATTCCTACAACATTATATGCATACTGTGTCCACAGGTTTGCTTATTTACACAACATCATGAAGGATTAAATTCCTTCGGATCAGAGTAAAAATATAATCTTACTTACATCCCATCTAGAAGGATTAAATTCCTTTGGATCAGAGTAGATTTCAGAATCCATGTGAACACTCCTGAACCAAACCAGAACTTTCCATCCCTTTGGTATGGTGTARCCTGGGAAATAAACCATTTTATTTCAACAAATCGAGAGAGAGAGAGAGAGAGAGAGAGAGAGAGAGAGAGAGAGAGAGAGAGAGAGAGAGAGTTCACCTAGGAGGAAAGCAAATGGAAGAAGTAGAAGATAGAGAAGAGAAACTGACCATTGACATTAACATCCTTTCTTGCTTCTCGGAAAACTACCGATGATATATTAATGAGGCGAAGTGTTTCATCAATCACCTTCAAGAGCAGAACATTTTTGTAATCATTTGTAGTTCAAATATCTGCTCAATTCTACTGGACATTAAAGATGCTTAAAATTCAGGTGAAGGAGAACATACTTTGGAAAGATAGTCCATTTGTCTAATTTCCTTGAGCGTCAATCCTTTCTGTGTGGGTGGCCTTTTCCTTATGATCTCCTCTTGCTCTGCCTAAAACATGTTCGGAATGGCTACAATTAGCACAAGGAATCTCATTTTGAAATTTGCAAAAAGTAGTGATGGGCTAGTCTATTTCACTGAGTTCTAGCTCTAAGTGACAGTACATGTAAACCTCTGAAAAGGAATAACTGAAAAAACAAGGAGCAGAGGCATATTAGACTGGCTGGGTTCTCTGATTTCACCTTTGCTTTTTGGTGGATTTCTGGATGATTCTGTAGTAATACAGTTGCCCACATTGTAATGTGGCCTGAAGATTCATGGCCAGCATTCAAGTACATGACTAAGATATCAATAATCTCCTCATCAGTCAACATTTTACCATTCTCATATTTGACATCCAACAGAGCATCCATCATATCTTTCTTCGTCGGGGGTGGACAGTTCGCCCTCCTCTGCCTTCTAGCATTCACAGCAGATTGAAGAATTGCTACCAGTTTCTTTCGAGCCTGAAACCATGAAAACCCAATTCAAGTTTGCTAAGAGAGGGGAAGAAGTAAAACAAGAAAGCAAGTTATTACTCCATGGTTAGCAAGGTCTCACCTTGAGTGCTTTATGGTAAGCAAATCCTGGGAGATTAATGGCCATTGCTCTAACTCCATAATTCAGAGCTGTGTATTCCTTCTCCAGACCTTCCATCATCTGTTCACTCTCAGTGCTAAGAAAAATGTGCACAATTATCCTGAAAGTAAGCCTCCTGATCTCAGTTAAGAACTCAATTTGCCCCATACCAACCCATTTGTCTAAGGTGGATTTAACACAGTCCTCAATGAACTCGATATACACACTTAACGCTTCATGACCATTGACTGGAGCAGCTGTAAGACGTCTCAGACGCTTGTGTTCATCATCAACAGTGCCAAGAAATGATTTCCTTCCAATCAGTTTATAAGTGGATTTAGGCCAACCAGGTATAAATGCTTCATCATCCATTAGAGCTTGCCTGCATGGTTCGGGTAGTGTAAGCATAATACTTGGGCTTCCAAACATGAAGGCCTTGTATACTCCAGTTCGACCATATCTGCGTTTCAGATCAAAGGATGTTGCAGGTYACAAAGTGATCACAAGAAAAAAAATGGCAAACAGGTAATCAATCATCTTACTACTACACCACTTTTGGGGTCTTGACTTGAAGAAACAATTTCAATACAGAAGAGTTGCAGAGGGCAAGAAGGCTTGGTATGTCCAGATGATGGGCCCAGCCCATTGGCTAATTAATTCTTCTTAATTGGGCTTGAGAAAATGGATGAATTACAGGCCCATAAAAGTTCACTCGGTTGACTGATACTGTGATATAGAGAAGAAGTGAAGAAGAACCAGGAGATCTGATGGTATTATTTTCTATGGGTGGGCCTGGGCCATCTGGAATCCATCTTATGATGCTTCCAGGGAATAAATGACAGCCCACCCGCTAAAGGGATGTCCAGTAGAAAACCATACCGGGAGAAATAACATATAACTAGTGGGTCCCAAATTTCGAGTTCGTCCGGCTGTGCAAAATGACAAGACAATGGTCGATAAAACCCAAAAGGCAGCTAAATGGTGGTCCATAGATAATTCCTATGACTCGGTCCACGTGGACTGCTTTCTCTCCTTTAAAACTCACCCCAAAATCCCCTTTCTAATTTTCTTTTTTTTTTTTTGAATTTTTAATTCCACATAATACCCACATTCAACTACTCACATTTCAGACTTTCCCACCCCATTTAAAAGTTTTACTATAATCTCTCTCTCTCTCTCTTTGAAGTGGACGAAAGGAAACTCACCCTATATATATATCTAAATTCTATTAGATAATAAATAACTTAGATATAGAAAGTATAAACTACTAAAATTAGCTAATCATTGATTAAATTAAATTACAAAGGTGATTGTAATGAGTAAATTTCTTAATTACTCAGATTGAGCCATCACAGTTAATGTACTAGATATATAAATTTGCTTAACTTAAAGTGAACCAATAAAATTTAAATTAGAAAATTACTTAAATGACTAAATTAGTAAATTACTTAATTTACTTAAATTATTGAATTAGAAAATTACTTCAATTACAGAACAAAAAATTAGTGAACTTAAAATTGCTCATTTAGAAAGGTTAGTTAACAATAAAACTAATAATTACTTAAACTACTAGAAACTGGTATATTAGTAAAATGTTAATGATTAGTAAAATTTATGGTAAATAGTACATTATTAAATCTGTAAATTAGAACATTAATTAATTAATAAAGTTACCATAAATGAAAACTAGTAAACTAATAATGTTATCATAAATTACTTAAATTACTAGAATAGAAATAGAAAGTTAGTGAGATTATTTAATAACTTACAAATAAAGTTACTATTTAAAGTAAATAAATAAATTTAGTAAATTAGAAAATTGGTTATTCCAATTGGAATAAACCTCAATTAGAAATGTTATATGTTGATGTTCTTTCACTCTACATAGAGTAGAGTGAAAGTTGTTACAGAAGGGGTTATTTGGGACAAAGGCTATGTTTGGTTTGAAGGAAAAAGTAGGGAAAGGAAGGGAAACGTAAGGAAACCTATACAAGGCTTGTTTCCCTACATTTCTCTTCTTTTCCCTACTTTTTCCTTCAAGCTAAACACAGCAGAAGTGAAAGGCATAAAAAACAAAGAACTGACAGAGTATCAGCCCTTGTGGACAAGGCTACCTGCCACAAATGATGAACAGCTAGGGTTGTCAATGGGTTAGGCCTATTCAATAGAACCAAACTGACTTAACTGATTATGTGGTCGGATTTGTGGTTTTGTCTGTTATAATAATTGGGTTGGGATTAGTTTCTGCTTTTTCAAATTAATTCAGATCCAAAACAATTATATAATTAATACTATATAAAGTCCTAGTGTTCTTTTTTCGTTATACTTTGTCTAAAAAGATAGTTTGATTAAAAACATTTTTTATTAATATATAAACTAGCAGGGACCCGTGCGATGCATGAGAAAATGAAATGCAATTTTTGATAAATTATTGTAATTTATTTAGGTTTATATTATCTGATTATTTGAAGTAATTATCATCCTAAGTTCTACTAATTTTTTGAATTTAATGGTTATTTTTACAAAGTTATACTAACTTCATCTATTTTATCATATTTTATGGAAATTAGTCCCTAAGTTCTACTAATTTCTGGTAATTTCTATTATATAATAATTTATGATAATTCTTGGTAAATATAATATTTTATGGAAATTAGTGGTTATTTTTGGCTAAGCTCTACTAATTTCTGGTAATTTCTATTATACTAATTTATAAGAATTCTTGGTCAATATATACTTATTATATGATAGTTTATTGGTCAATTAATGGAGACTAGTTCTATTATATAATTTCTACTAATTTCTGGTAATTTCTATTAAATACTAATTTCTTGGTAAATATATACTAATGTATTATATTTACTATATCATAGTTTATTGGTAAATCATAGTAATTTATCGATTTTATGGTATTTAGTGGCAATTTTTGGAGATATCTACTAATTTATGATAATCTTTGGCAAATTATTTTAATGTATTTAGGATTATATTATTTGATAATTTCAAGTAATTATCATCCTAAAGTCTACTAATTTGTGATAATTTCTTTTGATTTATTTTTAGTAAATTTTTTTATAAATATTGGTAATTTATGTCTAATAATGGTAATTTCTTTTAATTTATATTTGATAATTTTTATAATTATTTGACAATTGTTATTGTTACATTATTTGACAATTTTAGGTATAATAGTTATCAAAATTCAAAAAAATATTCAAATAGCAATATTTTTAACTTACAATGTGTAACAATCTTTAAAGCACAAAATCTATAAATGTAAACCAAAGCAATTCAAGGTTCAAAGTATAAACACATATTGGCTTGTATCGGCTGATACGTGTCATGTCGGTGGCTTCCTAATACGCCCCTACAGGGATTGTATCGGGTCAGCCGCTGTTTCAGAGGGTAGCTAGGCCTTAAATCGACCCCTCTGAATTGATTTTGGAAAAAATAAGTAAAACATAAAAAAAACACCGGCACAGGGCATATCGACCCATGGTGATATTTAGAACCTTGAAGCAATTCATTAAGCTAAATGCAAATATCATTTTTAACTAACATCGTGTAACAATCTTTAAAGCACAAAACCCAAAAATTTAAATCAAAGAAATTCAATAAGCAAAAAGACAAACATTATTTTTGCTGATTTTTGTTAACATTATTTATTAAATATTTAATTATTAACAACCTTTATCAATAATAGTAAGTAATTATAATATTTTATTAAATAATCAGTAATGATAGTTTTAATAATATCATTTTKTTATTTTTAATATAACAGTAATTATTAAATTTATGAATATGATTTCTTAACAATATTCATTAAATTAATAATTACCAAAATTAAATTAAATTAATAGTATTTATCAGTAATAGTCAGTAATTGTAATATTTTATTAAATAATCAATAACAATACTTTTAATATAACAATAATTACTAAATTTATTAACATTATTTATAATTTTAATTTAAAGTAAAATTAAAGTAAATATCTATTTATTAACAATATTTATAATAACAGTAATTATTAATTATAATCACTACTTATATATTTATTAAATTACTGTAATAATCAGTAATTATTAAAACCGGCTTACTAAATTTATTAACAGTATTTATTAATAACACTATTTATAATTTTAATTTAAAGTAAATATCTATTTATTAATAATATTTATAATAACGGAAATTATTAATTATAATCACTAATTATATATTTATTAAATTACTGTAATGAATAGTAATTATTAAAACTGGGTTTAAATAAATAAATAACAGTATTATAATCGGTAATGTTAGTAATTAAATTACTGCCATTTGGACCACCATTTCTTTTTAATATATATATAAAGATAACTTAATAATTACTATCATTTTTATTAAAAATAAAATTTTAAATCATTATTATCATAAATAATTATAGATGTTAAGTATAATCGGATTTAATGGCGTCAATGTCCATATCATTATGGAATTGGAAGCAATTAATATTAATAATAGACCCGATTAACAATTCTATAAACGAGTAACAGCTTGAACATGTTTTAAAAGCTTTTGGCGCATTAATCAAGTACATATTTGACAGACTCTGATAAAAGTTGAAAGAAAACTAGAGCACTAATTTTTTAGTTATTATTTTTTTAAGTTTAAAATAATAATAATAAACTTAAGGCCTAAAAGCACGTGGCAAACATGCAGGGGAATGAGTCAGCAGATCCACCCATGTGTTAGGTGGGGTGTTTTTTTCTCCGTTTCTTCTTCTAGCATGACCATGATTTTTAAAATCGAACCGGTGGCCGAACTGGTTAGGGTTTTTGTTACCGGTTTAAACGGTCCGAAAATTAAAAATCATTCGATTGGTGGGGTGTTCAACCTGATAGTCAGCAGATCCACCCATGTGTTAGGTGGGGTGTTCAACCTGAGTATTATACTTAAAAATTAAAAAAAATTGAAAAACAGTCAAAACCATGGTTTTAGGGAAAAGAACCAACCGGTCAGACCCAATTTTTCAATTTTAGGGAAAAAAAAAGGGTTTTAATTTTTTCAGTCATTCTGAAACAGTTTCAGAATTCAGAATTCAGAATTCTTAGAGCAGTACATTGGGATTGGAAACATCTCACACTTCTCTATGTTTTTATTTATTTTATTTATAGGGAAATGTTTTTTATGCATGACTCTCAAGTGTCTCGATCGCTAGTTATATACAGACATTGCATTGGGAGTATCTCTCATGTTTTTATCACAGGGAATGCTCACACCCACCTCACAGCATATATCAGTCGTGCATTTAAAACACAGGAGTTCACATCAGCCCCAAATAAGGAGTGTCTCGATCACAACGTCATATAGTACATCTTAGCTATGTATTGAGAATATCTCCGATGATAGTACATGAAATAATGAGCAATTATCAGGAGATGGTCCCAATACACATCTGAGATGAGATGTGATGTGGGACATTGTGGGGCGCTTTCCTAATGTAATTGAGGTGGTGTTTGACATTGATGCCGTTGCTTAGAAAATGGTGACACATTTTCAGTGCCATGTTAAAAATATTAGTGCTTCAGAAAACACGGTAAAAATTTGGAATCATTTTTTTTTATAAAAAAACAGTATTTTAAACCATGTCTTAGAAATTGAGAAGGTAAAATAATATTAAATTCKACGTTTTCTCAATTTAAAGTTCATTGCATTCAACGAGGATATGATGTGGACTTTCTATAATAAATACTAATATTGAAAACAGATGCAATACACTGGTACCAAATAGAAGATGTTGTTGTTGGCCCCAAAAAAATCCTACTTAATAACAACGTTTCAAACAAAAAAAAAACACTATTTTMTAAAAATAGGTGCTTCGACTCRCACATATATAGCACCATTTTCTAAGCAGCATCGATGCCGGGCATATAGTGAAACTTTATGTAAAATCGGTGTATCAGGATCTATTCTTCACACATGAGTGTTTTACATGCACATCATATTTGGGAATATTTTCCGTGAATAATAAATTGTAAGTACAGAAAATGTTCCCAATGCACAATAGGATGCGCGCGTGTAAGATCGATTTGAGGCGCTGTGTGAAGAGCAGATCCGGTCTCAATTTCGTTGGAGGAGGAAATCGGGTTTGCTGTTGCATGAACAATCATATTTAGTGTCACATCATAATGTGCCGGTACCAATTATCAAAACAGTGAACACTGTCATTTGCTGTGGTGAATRTGAATCCCATCCCAAAAGCCCAAACTAAACGCAGAGAAAATTTTTGACGGAAGGAAAGAGAATGTTTCAACAAAAATGACGAGAACCGGCGGACGTATCTCTGAAGAAGAAGAAGAATAGTGTATGATGTCTCAGTCTGCTCCCAACAAACGCTCCCAATACTGTTCTAACAGGCCACTGTAGCCGCACATTGAAAATATCTTGTTACTGTAATGGCTTGTTGGACAGCGTTGGGAGCGTTTATTGTAGATCCGTACTAATCCACTATCCCTTGCTTAAAATTAGGATTCTCTTTACAAACTAAAAAGAGAAAGAGAGAGAGATAACCTGTTAACAAAGCTGGAGATGAAAGAATCAGGATCGTCGTACTTGAAAGCTCTGAGGAAAGACCACGTATTCCCAATCAAAGGCCAACCCAGGTCGCCCGGAGGGAGGGAGAATCGCTTTTCACCCAGTTTACGCTCATACAACCAACCATTTGCTCTCCGGAGCAATCCATAGAAAGCAAAAAACCCGGCCAAGACGGACACGAAGGCCACCCACAACGATCCCAGTTCCATTATAACACTCTCTGTTTTGCACTTCTGGCCGAGGCTTTTGAGTTTGAACTCTCTGTCGGTCTAGGTTTCCAGCACGCAACTATATATAATAGAGAGAGAGTTGAAAAAAGATAAAAATTGTAATCTGAAGATACTGTTATAGGATTCAACACCTGTTATAGGATTCTCTCTTGCTTGTCACTACTTGTTATAGGATTTAACACCCTTCAGCCTCTGCATCTCTCTCTCTCTCTGGCTAACGTCGTCATTGAAGTGACTGAACAGGGTCCCTCTAGACCCCGCAATAAGACACCTTTGTTAATAAGTACAAGTAAAACTGTAAAAGTGAAATTCTCGTGGGGCCAAACAGAACCTAATCCAATCCTAGAATCCAACCCGAAAAGTGGGGATGTATTGCAGATTGTATATTACGGTTGGAAAATGGAAAAGTTGGGTTGGTCTAGCCTTTTTAGTGTCTCTTTGTACAAGTGGTATGACTTGTAGATTTGATAAGAAATTAAGATTGTTTCCAATTAATCCGGTTTCACCAATGGGTTGGGTTGGGTTGGGTTAGGTGTGAGGATGTGTTAGGGTTGAGGCTTATTGACATTTCTTATTAGCCTCTAGCTAGATCTCTTGTTTTATGCAAGGAATAATTCCCACTTTTGTTAAACTCCATTTTATAACATGTAAATATTGTGACAAATGAGCAAGTGAAATATCTAAATTCCTATTAGTAGCTTTTTTTAATGGTCAAATTCTTATTAATAACTCCGTATCATTTTTGATAATTTTAAGTTTATTATTGTACCTGATGTTTTCGGATTAGAGGTGTTTCGAATCGAAAACATAATCAAATAGTCCTACCAATCGGAGGAGGTTAAAGTAGAAGGATGAAGTCGTGCATCGAGATTTGCAACTAGGAGAAAGGTTAGAGGCCCGAGGAGTTGTTCCTTAGGTAGGTACTCYGACGATCAAGTCAATAGGATTCAGAACGATGTGGCCCGGCCGATCAGGTTTAAATAGTGTTGGTCCGAGGCGAAGAGATAGTGCAAAGAGGTATTCAAAGAGTGCAGTTCCAAATGGTCCCTTACCTCGAGCAGAGAATACCTATTTATAGTTGAGTGTCCACGTCCAGATGGATATGGCTCCCGGGGTTGTCGAGATGAGGGCGTTCGTCGAGGTTTTTAGGAGGTTTCCTTTTCCTCAACAGAGTTTGCTTCCTTGTCCATGCGGGATGCTCCTTCTTAGTCGTGCTCTTTTGTTACACGTGGCATCAACGTGGCCTGAGAGGGGGCGGCTACGAAGATAGCCACGTGGCATTCTTGGCTAGCTCAACCATTACTTGAACACGACTCCCCTAGTTCCAGAGTTGAGGAGTGTAGTGCTTGGCTGCGATTGGGTGTGGATGAGTTTTGCGGTCCTCGGCTGAGGAACTCAAGGTAAGATCGGTTCGCTGGGTGGATGGGCTAGTTTAACGCTTGTCCCATTTCCGTTATGGGTTGGCAGACAAGTCGTTTCATCTTCTCGAGGTCACGCACGTGCGGAGTGCGGCGTTGAATCGACACCGTTGATTTGAATAGATCTGGACTGTTGGTCCTCCCTATAAAAGGGGATGTGGCGAGCCATTTTACTTTGCCATTTTGTGTGAGTGATCATAAGAGCTTGGCGAGACTTAGTCCTCGGTTGATGCTTCAGGTGTCTTGCGGTGTAATTCTTTGGTAAGATCTCTTCATCTTCCTCCTCATCTTCTTGTCCTTCCTCTTCATCTAGCTCTTGCACATTGGGTAATGACTTAGAGTCGGAGGCTTATCCCAAGTCCACCGCGCTCGTGGCCCACGAGACCGATGCCCATGGGGCCGAGGTCGATGGGCCTATGGGTGAGAGTGTTGCGGTGGAGGAGGTCGTGGCCCTTTGAGAAGTCGAGGTTGGGGAAACCAATGAGGCCAAAGTGGACATTATGTCAGAAGAGGGGCTTGACGCTCCTGTGAGGTTCGATAGTCCCTTCACGTCTTTGCATTGTAGGTTGACACCCGAAGACTTGGCCCAAATTAGGGTCCTTTATTGCATTCCCGAGGAGTACAAGCTGAGGTGCCCCAACCTCGGTGAAAGGACTACCTCGGCTTGGCCAGGGGAACTTTGCATTTATGAGCATAGCCTAATAGCCGGGCTGAGATTTCCTTTGAGTGAGGGTATCACAATGGCATTGAGGTGGTATCACGTCCACCCAGTCCAACTGATGCCCAATTCCATTAGATACTTGGTTAGCCTCCTTTGTTAATGCTCGATTCACAACGTGGGCATCACCCTGTCGATGTTCACATACTTTCTACACCTGAAAAAGCACTAGCAGGGCTATCATTACTTCTTGGCTCAACAACACAATAAGGTGCTCATTGGAGCCCCCTGGTGAAATATTGGAAGGAAGGGGTTCTTCTTTGTGCGCTGCCCAGGGGGTTGGCCGATCCCTATCGAGCTATCATTCCTGAGGACCAAGGTAGAAGTGCAGGAGTACACGTCATTCTCTATGTTGATCCGTGTCGGGCTGATGGAGCCCCCGACTGGTCTGTCATTGCTTTTGTAAGTGTCTTTTTTCTTGTTTCATTTATTTGGCTTTGACTCACTCGTTCTCTTTAGCAGATATGTCAGTCATTGATGAGGAGGAGAGAACAAAACGCATGTATGTTTCCGTAAAGAGGAGGGCAATGAAGTCTATTGAGGGAGACGTGGTGGATGTTGGCTCTGATGGGTCTCCACCCCATGCTAAGTTGCGGTTCATGCCACGGTGAAGTCTTGAGGTATCCTCGAGTCTGGTAGAGCTGGCGGCCGAGGTGTACAGGTCGAGCTTGAGTGTCAAGCCTGAGGACACTCTGAAAACTAAGGGTGTGCCCGAGCAGCTAGCTAGGGGTATTCTACAGGCGGGGTGTTGGAGAGTGCAACCATCAGGGAGTCTGCCACGGTAAGACTCTTTGCACTGCCTTTTCTGTTCTTTGGTGTGATTTGACATGCTCATTGACTTGCATTTTCCTTTTATAGGTTGTCTATATGGTGATGACATTGGTTGACTGGATGCATGCCTTTCGTTAGATGTTCGAGGCTTGGGAGGGCGAGTTCTCTCATCTGTAGGCAGAGATGGTTAGGCTGAGGCAAGCAACAATAGAGAAGGATGAAGTGTTGCGGAGTTTGAAGAATAGTGCTCGTGAGCTCAAGGGGGACTATGACAAGGCATAGAAGGTGGCCAAGGAGGTGGAGGCGAAATTGCTATGCGCCACGGAGGCGGTCGCCAAGTACAAGGAGTCCGAGGAGTTCTAGATTGCCCTTGATGATTTTGCTACGGACTCCTAGTAGACTAGCTTTGCTCGCTGCCAGAGGGTGGTCATGCGCGAGCACCCTAAAATCGTTGCGGTCGTGGAGTAGCATGGTCCCTTTGATGAGCACCCCTGAGGAGGTGAACCCTGTAAGGGTGTAAATGGTATTCGAAAATCCGATTTCACTTTCGATATTCGACATAATCGAATCGAATTCGGATAATCTGAATATTTAATCTGTCGAATTCGGATATCCTATTCATACTAAATAGTTAACTGGATTCGAATTCGGATATGACCTGATTCGATTCGATAAATATCCAAATTCGATTGATTATTTAATTCTTATATAATATACAAAATATTTTATATAATTTACATATAATAATTAAGTTATATAAATAATTTATATATTTATATACTTTATATCAATAAAATATTTATTACTTATCTAAAATAATTAATTAATCAATTTTTAATCGAACCGAATATTTGAATATTTAATCGGATTCGGATTCTGATATTAAATTTCAATATCCGTCGGATATTGATTTGAATTCGGTCCATTTACACCCCTAGAACCCTGTAGATAGCATAGTTGGACTGGATTGATGCTCTTTTCTTCTTCTTTTTTTGTACATAGCTCGATATGCCAGTCTTATAATCATTGTATTAGCTTCTTGAGTAATGGAACTTCAGTCTTTTTGTCAAGCACTTTTAGTGTTGTTTCTTCTTCTAAGTTGCTTTGCTTCATAATTAAGTTCATCGGTAGGGACCATAAGCCATGCTCTTTGGACTTGACGTTGTGGCTGGGGTCTTTGGCTCTATGGCCTCGGTCTCATGTTGGCCTCGGTCTTGGACTTGACGCTAAATGGTCGGGGTCTTTGACTTCGTGGCCTTGGTCTCATATTGGCCGAGGTCTTGGGCTTGCCGAGGTTTTCATCTTCATGGACGAGATCTTATGTCGGTCGAGGTCTTCGACCTTTGCTTGTGGGGTCCTTGGTTTGCGGTCCTATTTCTTGTTGTCTCTTTCCAATCTACGCCTATCATGGTCCTTTCGCTTCCGGTCATGTTGGTCCTCTTCACTCCTTCATAGTGCCTGGGCTTCCTTAGCGTTCATGTACTTTTGGACATGCTTCATGAACACGGTTAGGTTGGGCGGTGGGTTCTTTTGCAGCGAGAAGCTGAACATTGTGGAGCGCAACCCGCCCATGATGGCTATCACAACTACCAACTAGTCTAGTGCTTGGACTTGAAGGGCCTCAACATTGAACCTCGCCAAGTATTCCCTCGAGGTTTCTCCTTTCTTTTGTCGAACTTGCATGAGGCTAGCCAACGTCTTCTAGTGCCTTTGGTTGGAGGTGAATTACACCAGGAATTGTGTCTCCAACTGTTCTCAAGAGGATATGGACCACGGCGGAAGGGAGAATACTAGGTTTTGGCGACTCTATGGAGGGTGGCGATGATGTCCTTGCACTTAAGACCCTCAGAGGAGTAGTGTAACATCGTTATCGCCTTAAACCCTTCAATATGGTCATTTGGGTCTAAGGCCCCATCGTACTTCTCGAACTGAGGAGATCGCCATCAGGCTGGGGGAAGCTTGTTGATGATCTCTTGGACGAAGACAAACTCTTTTGCAGGTTGCTAACCATGATGTTGCTATGTTGGTTGGGCCATTAGAGGGGCTGCAATATGATCCATTTGACTACATTCCATCTCGGCTAATCGTTGTTGTAAGTCCCTGATTTCAGTGTCCCTTTTTGTYGGCATGTGTTGATGGACTTCTCTACTTTCGGAGCTGCTTCT